CTGTAACTGTAGCTACTCAGGAGGCAGAGCTACTCAGGATTGCAGTTCAAAGTCAGCCTGGGGAAACTTTTCATGGCTGGCTTTGGAAAAAATCAAATTACATACCTAAAATGAAACTTACATATTTATGTAATATTTCTTATACACATGATATGCAGAAATTCTGTGTATGTACAAGGATTCCTTACCAATCACACCCGTAAGTATCTGGAAGGAGAGAGGATCTAAAGAAATTCTAATAAAATTACTACTGTATGAGTTTTTTGGTGTGAAAGAATAAAAAAAAGAAATAAAGTTTATCAAATGATTATCTGTAGGTTGAACAAGCACTTGTTGCTCAACTAAATTATGGCCTTGAGGAGTCAGGAGGTGCATCATTTCAACTGAAAGAAAAGTAAATCTTAAGCAAATAAGTTTTTTCAGTGCCAGGAATGAAACCAGATCTATGACATGTTAGGCAAGTACTCGAGAACTACTGAGCCACACTCCAAGCCCAAACCAATTATTTTATGTAATATGTAAATATTTTTATGTTTTAAATTTTTTCTTGAGGTGGAATCTTGCTATGTTGCCCAGGCTGGTCTGAAATACCTCAGCTCAAATAATCCTCCTGCCTCAAAATCCTGAGTGCTGAGATTACTAGTGTGCACCACCATGTCCAACTTACCTTTAATTTTTAAATTCAAGAAGTGATACAATATAAAATCACTAAAAATCCTCATCAAAGATAGACCCATAATGGATTAACATCTGAGAGGGTCTCTCTCTAAATCCTTGATTTATATTAAAGATAACCAAATACACCTTATTCTGTGTTTTTAAAAAATGCAGAAAATTGTGGTTTTAAGCTAGGTCAGTCTTTTCACACAGACAGCTCATCTGTAAAGTGGAATGTCTCCTGCAATACCTTCATTATGGAGGTACTAAGAACTGGGGCTATTTATGCTGTACTGGCCAAACCTCATCCAAGATTTGGTATGCAGAGAAGGAAGTGATATTACCTGAGGGGTTTGGACCCTAGAATCTGGGGTTTCTTTGAGTGTTTTCCTGAAGCTTCTACAGATAATTACTCAAGACACTGAATACCACTTCAGAGGTTTGTTCAACTGAAAAAAACAGAAGCGGAACATGACCAAAGGTTAAAAGTATAGGCTCTGGAATTAGGTTAAGTTCAAATCTTGGCCCCACCTACTGTGTGACCTTGCACAGCTATAACCCACCCACAACCCATGTGTAAGTTTATTCTTTTCATTGCCTTAGAAACTTGGCTTTCCCCCCAACCTCTCCAGGTGCTTTCTGCCTTTAACATTCAATGTCTTGTTTACTTTGACTCAATTAGAAGAGAAGCCAGTCAATCTAATTTCCATCCTTAATGTTATTTGTAAACTGCTGCCTCATGATTCATCAGCACTTATTACTTCTACCTGTTGTTACTACTGTTGACTGGCATTACTTCTAACTTGGACCCGCTTCTCCATATTCTTCCTTTCTGCCTCCTGTTGATTTCAAAATGTACATCAGTAAGATGCTCCAAAAGTCCCTGATTTCCCAGATCCTATCATTGTCACATCTATCTCTTATCCATAAAGATGTACTCTTGACCATCACAAGGCATTCTCTGCTCATTGCATTACCCAATGTAACCTTCCTACCATTACACACCTAACATCTACCATGTTCTGCACTTGATCCTCAAGGCCTTCAACGTCTCTATCTTGCTAATTTAGCATCAACTAGCAATCTTATGCCACTGGATTTTATTTATCCTGTGCAGTTTGATTCCCACTGATGCCTACACATCTCCCTTTTGGGGTACTCTGACTATAAGCACAAGAAACAACCAGCACAAAACTCCCATATTTATTTTTGAACAAGTTATATGTTTTTGTGTAACAGGAATATTCCATTGTTCTTTATCTTTGTTTATGGTTCCCTTAGATTATTTTTGTTATACTGTGTAGTGTATAGAAAAACAAATGTGTGTTGATAGGACATGTTAAACAGAACATGAAATGGAAAGACTCCCAAGTAAAGGACTGAGTAGAGCAGCAAACAATTTTAAATAAAGACTGCATCTAGTAAGCAGTCAGATTAGAGAGAGATACTGTGAATTTACTGAAGAGTAAATTAACTCTGAAGAGTTTATTTCAGTTTGGATAACAAGTCTATGGAACCACATTATATAAAGAGTAGGGACAGCATCAATTTGGTAATAAGACATTCTCACAAACGTCCTCATCATTAGGTGAAGTCCCTTCCAATAAGGAGAGTTTGCATGAGAGTGAGAAATGGGAAGCAGAGTGAGCTTAAGTAGGGAACAGGCTTTACATACTTATAGCTACACAGCTCTTTGGCTTAATTTAGGATCCTTGCATTTCCTGGCATAAAAAACTAGGTTGCCAAGCCCAGTTGCCTCTGCCTTACGTGTACATTACAGCTCTAATGTTGGTGTTATGAGAAAGCCTAAATAAGCAGTCCTCAGATTATGAATGAGTTCTTAATAGTCCATCTGCTTTTCTGTTGTGAACTCTAGAATCTCTTCTCACAGAAAGTCATGTTAGATTCTAATTGCATAAGCCAATTTGACACATGTCTAAATTACAGAACTAATACCATTATCACTTTTATGGGAAAATGTGTTAACTCTAGGAACACTATGTAATCCTACCGGACTAGAGCCCCTCTGTGTAAGGGTTATTTAAAAATGGGCACTAGGGAAATGGGTGCAGTTTAAGAGAAGGGAGAAAACTGAAAAGATACTAGTAGACAGAAAAGTAATTATAAGCAGAACTTACTAAAGAATGGGGATTACCAGCCTTTTCTCTTTCTTCTTTTGTCACTGTCTCACCACTTGAAATCCACTGACCAGCTGGAAGTGGGGAGAGAAAAGGGTACTGAACTTGTGTTGGGATAGAACAATAGTCTCATAAATTGTGGAGTTTTCTGTGGTAAGGTAAAAAGGGAGGGAGATATAGGGCATCTCAGAGGAGAATGAGAAAGTTTTCTGTTAATAAAGGCCAACAAACCAAGAGGCAAGTATATTTCTAATGTGGCTTGTCTATTTTTCACTAAAATAATCATCATAGGTTCTCATGCAGAGCAGATTTTCTTTTTTTAATCTGACCAAGGATAATGTCAACCTCTGATGAGTTTTCAGAAGACCAAACTAGAGTATCATTAATCTTTGGGCCTTTTATGTGCTCAAGAAGGCATGTAAACCAAGAAATTATAAGCCAATTCTCAAGAATTCAGAACACAGTGAAACTGATAAACCTTTGAAACAAAGGAAGGTTTAAAAGTAAAGAGAGGAGCATCAGTATGTCTTCTCTAAATAAAAAATAAATACAAAAAGCCTTGTACTCAGAAGACCCTTGGAAGTCTTCGAATGCAGGGTTGTCTCGATTGTGAAAAACACTTAATGACTGGAGGTGTGGCTCAAGTGGGAAAGCACCTGCTTTGCAACCACAAAGCCCTGAGTTCAAACCCTAGTCTCATGAAAAACGAACAACAAAAAAACCTACTGAAATTCAAAGGGATGGTGAAGCCACATGAAAACCCTAATTTGGAGGCATGATGGTGTTAGAATTGTTTACTCTCGAGAACTGGTGGCTCATGTTCCCTGTAGGGACTCTCTTGTACAAAAAATCTGCAGTGTCCCCTTGCTTGCTTACAGAACTGTGTTCATGAAGATTCTCAACTCCCATCCTAGGTCTAACGACTATACTTCAGATATTTTATCTTATTATTTTTTAAAGTAATGCTTTTTTATCTAGGGACAGGGTGTTGCTATGTTGCCCAGGTCCGCCTCCTGCCTTAGCCGCTCAAAAAACCTGGACTATCAACACCACAAGACCCAGCTAAACCTTCCAAGTTTGGAATTTTTCCCAATAATGATGGAGACTAAACCCAGGGCCTAGAATGTATAGTGTTCTACCACTGAGCTACAACTCTGGCCTCAGACATTTTAAATAAGCTCCACAGGTGATTTTGATGTTCATTCAAGTTGGGGAACCACTAGTGTGTACTTAAGTTGTTGATCTTTTCCTTTGTGTGGTATTATAGCTATGTCACGATCTCTATAAGGAATAATATTCTCATTTTTAAAATGGATAATAAATTTCATTTAGAGGTATTTTAGAAATTAATGAGACAAGCACTGGCAAAAATTACTGGCATTCTAATCTTCCCAACGTCTCTCCTCACACTGTTTCCAACTTAATGCCATCAATAGCCCAATTAAAATGAATTTCTATTTTGGGCTAGTCTCATCACTAATGATTCTAAGCCCTCTGAACGCTTACCTCTGCTTATATCTATTTTATCTAAATGTTTTCTCCCTTTTCCTTCAAAAATCTGGCCATCAAACCCATATTTTCAGAGCTGGGTCATGGTTCAGGTGATAAAGAGTACTTTGCCCGGCTAGACAAAGCCCTGGTATAATCCCCCATACCACAAAAACAAAACAAAATCTGCATTTTCAATAAAACCTTTCCTGACCACATTAGGCAAAAGTAATCTGTCCTCAGAATTTATAGCACTTATTGTTTACCAAGTAACACTTAATTCTAAACCATATTGAACACCAATTTTACTGTTCTGTAGTCTAATGTAACTATACATATGGGTTTTACATCTCCCAAACTAGGCTGTAAATGCTCTGAGAAAAGAAATCTGGTGTTGTTTCTTGTTCTCCATAGCAACAATGCAATGGGCTGCACACAGTAGGTTCTCATTAAATAGTTGAGTTTTCCATATAGGAACAATGACTCAAGTTTTACCCTGAATCATTTACAAAGCTAGTATTTCTCTCCAGTCTGCACTCTGTGAGATAGCTTCCCTGTAGTCATCACAGAGAAACAGATTTTCTTCCTTTGTGGACAGTCTGATGTTGAGTAAGAGCTGAGTTTGCCTGAACAATTCCCCACACTCTTTACATTTATAGAAACCACCTCTATTATGGATTCTCTGATGTTTACTAATGTTATCTGATGTTATCTGACCTCTGTCTGAAAGCCTTGCCACATTCATCACATTTGTAGGGCTTTTCCCCAGTGTGGATTCTCTGATGCTGAATGAGGCTGGTGATTCCTTGGAAGGTATTCCCACACTCATCACACTTGCAGGGCCTCTCTCCTGTGTGTATTCGCTGATGCTCTGTGAGGACTGATTTTTGAGAAAAGGCTTTTTCACACTTATCACATTTATACGGTCTCTCTCCTGTGTGAATTCGCTGATGTTCTGTAAGACTCGTCCTTTGAATAAAAGCTTTTTCACATACATCACATTTGTAGGGTTTCTCTCCAGTGCGAATCCTCTGATGCTGAATAAGGCCACTATGACTGAAAGATTTCCCACATTCCTTACATTGATGGCATTTCTCTTTGTGATGGATCTCTTGGTGGGAAACAAGAGATGAGTTATAAACAAAGGCTTTTCCACACTCATTGCACTCATAGGGCTTTGCACCAGTATGAACTCCTTGATGTTGAGTAAGTGTGGAACGCCGATTAAAACTTTTATTACACTGAAGACATTGATAAGGTCTGTTTCTTCTGTGGCTCTTGAGATGGTGAAAGAGGCCTGCTTTCTGCCGAAAGGCTTTGCCACATTCATTACAATGGTAGTGTTTTTCTCCTGAGTGAAGTCTCTGATGTTGATTAAGAGCTGACCACTGGCCAAAGGCCCTGCCACACTCATTACACTTGTACGGTTTCTCTCCAGTGTGTACTACTTTGTGTCGAATAAGCACAGTTCTCCAACGGAAAGTTTTTCCACATTCTTCACATTTGAAGGGTCTGTCTCCAGTATGGATTCTCTTATGTTCTATGAGGCGTGAGTGCTGACTAAAAGTTTTCCCACAGTTATCACACTCATAAGATTTTTCTCCTGGACAGATTCTCTGGTGTTCAGCATGCTCTGAGCTCTTAGTCAAATTCACTTCATTTTTATCACATATAGGTTGTTTATCTTCCCTGGAGTATCCAGAAGGCTCCTCTTCAGGTTCATGAGTTTCTCCATACTGAGTAGACTGGGGTATATCATTTTCAAATTTGCTACATATATTCCCATCTGGTTCCATTCCTTCAGAAACTTCTTGTTTTAGAGTTAAATTTCTGTACTCATTTCTAGTCTCAATATCTGAAACTACAAAAAGATTATTATGTTACCTAGTTTGCAGTGATAGCAAACAGCAGCTTCATTAGGCAACATAAAATTATTTAAATGACAACATAAGAACCTAGAGTTTCTGCATAGCTACAAAATGGCATTACAGTATGAACTTAGTATATAAAGCACTTCAAAACTGTTAAGGAAGAGATCAATAACCGAAGGGAAAACTAGGCAAAGAAAAAACTGATGGTTTCCAAGAAAAACAATAGTTCTTAAACACAGGAAAAGATCTCTACTTCATAATCAGGGTAAAGGCAAATTTTAAATGTACTGAGATGTTATTTTTCATCCATCAGATTTGCCCATCACTTCAATGTAACACCATGCTCACAAAATGGGTGTCAAATATAGGTGGTGAAAGTGTGAACTGATCCAAACCTTTATGGATTAGATCAAAATTACAACTATATACAACTTTTGACATAATGGTTCCATACATACAAAAATTATAACTACAGTTAACTTCTAACATAGTTCCACATATAGGAATTTGAGCTACAAATTACACTTACACACAGTAATTCATTGAAGTAATATTTCTGCTTACTGTCTCTTTTTTTTTTTGGGTGGGACTGGGGGGTTAAACTGAGGGCTTCATACTTAAAAAGCAGGTGCTCTACCACTTGAGCCATACCTCTAGTCCATTTTGTTCTGATTATTTTTGGAGCTGGGGTCTTGTGAAGTATTTGCTCAGGATGGCTTCAATCCATGATCCTCTAATCTCAGCCTCCCAAGTAGCTAGGATTACAGGCATGAACCACTGGTGCCTGGCTTGTTTTCGGTTTTTGAGTGTGTCTTGCTATGGAGCCCAGGCTAGTATCAGACTCCAAATTCTACTACCTAAATTTCCCAGGGGACTACCTAACTTTATTGTGTGGTTTTCCATACTTTTTAAATACTAAATAGCTGTTAAAATAAACAATGCAAGAGTCTACTATCGTAGTGACAGAGAAGAAAAATATGTTTGTTTCAATATGAAAATGTATAATATAAAAAAACCTCTAAAAGGATACACAAGAAAGTAATAATGGGGATAACTTATTTCAGAGTTGGGGGAGGATAGATGGCTAGAAGAACTGAATAGTACAGAAACTACTCACTGGATAAATTTTAAATTTTTGTTTTTAATCCATGTGAATTCTCACCTATTCAAAAAACTTACATGAAAAAAAAATTAGAGAAATTAGTGATAAGGAAGGTAGAGGGTCTTTCATCCATTCATCAACCGTTAATTTTGCTACATTCGCTTTATTATTCCTTCTTTTCATCAGTACAGCTACATATTTTTTTTCTTGAACTATCTGTGAGTTAGATGTAGACATTGTGGACAAAAGTTTATTTACTGAAGAAGTAATAGTAGAAAACAGTAGTATTGTTTAGAAAGCCAAAGGCTAGAAACAGCAGAGATCAATTTAAAGGAAATTATCAGAAGGACTAAATTAAATGATCAAATAAAGAACACTAGAATTTAGAAAAATATCAATATAAAAATAAAAGGGGTGGGGACTGTCACATAGAGGTACAGTGCTTGCCTAGCATGCACAAAGTTCTAGGTTGATCTGAAATACCACAAAAGGGGGAAAAAATGGACGAGTGACAATCCAGGTCAGCTGAGAGCCTAAGCATGAGCATGAGACTCCTGGAGAGGCTTTTGTGACTTTAATGATCAAAAACAGCACTGCCTAATGTCCTGTGTTAGCCCTGTCTTCCACTTCCTCTCAAAATGAGTCTCCCTTCTTTACCTTGCTCTTCCTGAGCTTCAAGTTCTGAAGATTCACACTTTAGCTTGCCTTTCATGGACTGGAAAGACATACTGGGTTCTTGTTCTATTCCTAGAGGTTTCAGCTCCTGGAAGAAATCTTCTTGTTCTTCAGTGTAGGCCTTGATCCGAGGAAAATGAGATACAGATGAACTCTAGTAACAGAAAAGAAAAAGAGTACACTGTTCATGGCAGTGGCACCTAGCTTGCTTAAACCTGATCTTTTTCCCAGACAGCTTCTTCCCAGATATCAGCCTGCCATAATTCTACCCATTCTGGCCAATGTAAGTATCATCTCCTCTGAGGAACCTTACTTTTCTGACTAGAATTAATTCCCCCTCCACTGCTAACAGTTTACTAGAAAAGGGAAAGAAAGAATAAACAAAAAAGAGAAGGAAAGGAAGATAAAGAGGCAGCAAGGAGGAAAAAATAAGTTAGGAGAAAATAAAATGAGATATAAAATAAAGGGATATATAAAGGCAATAATACAGAGAAATGATAAAGAAAAAAGAATGGTCAGTAGACCCCTAGTCCCAGCTACTCAGGAATCTGAGGTGGGAGGATCACAAAGGAAAAAAAAAAGAAAGTATGCAAGACAAAAGAAAGGGAAAGAGAAATCTCTTCCATAATTGTAGAAGCTATTTCGTGAGGTTCCTTCCCACTTCTCTCTAGGAAGATAATCTTATTTCCTATTTATCCACAATCACAGTCAGTTCAAAAATCATTTCTCTTTCATATACTCCACCTTCATCTTTTCTTCTATCTTAGAGGAAATTACTTTCTTTTCCTAAAATTCACATTTCTACTTATGTCTTCAATCCCATTCCTTCCTCTGACCCTCATTCCCTCAATTAACTCATTTATTTAGCATTTTCAGCTACTCTGTGCTTCCTATTCCTCCACAGGTCTATTTCCTCTTGCATATTTGAAACAGTAAGTTTCCCCAGGATGATTCTGTAAAAACTAGAGCTTTGAAATAAAAATGATTACTTACTCTGTTTACTAGTTTAGAGCTCAATGACTGTGGGCTGCTTACTTTGAGATTATACAGTATCATGAATGTAAGGTACCAGGCATAGGCCAACATATCATAGGCCCTCAAATTACTCCTCTATTCCCTTCAAATTACTTCCCCCATTCCTCAAATTTTGTAAATAAGAAATCACTTACACTGCCTCTAATTCCCTGAAGTTTCATTTTGTAACCTCTATCTCCAGAATAGGAGCCAGAATCTGCAGATTCGTACAGAGAAAGATGATACATTTTGAGAGACAGAGGAAAAAAAAGACAAAAAAGAGGCCAATACAATCAGTTATGCGTTGTATCCCTGGATTTCTGGCTAGGTCTTTATTAAGTGTCATAGGCATGTTTTTAGAAAAAGGACCAGCTGGCAATACAAACTCAACATGTTTAAAACCAAATTACTCTGGCCTGCACTTGGGAATCCTTGTCTTTCTTATGGTTCTCTTTTCGCCTCCCTGACTACTCTTCAGTTTCCAGTGATGAGCTCACTATCTCATGTCTTTAAATATTACCCATATTCTGAGAAGTCCCAGTTATATTTTCAGTACAGACCATACTCCTGAATTCTAACTTACTATATTCAGTTGCTTGCTCAACTTTTCCATGTGGATTCTAACAGGAATCTGAAAATTTAACATGTCCAAAACCTACCTCTTGATTCCTGTTCCTCCACCTCACGCCTACTTCTTTCCCAGTCTTTATTATCTCTCTGAATGACAAATTCATTCTTCCTGTTCAGATTAAAAAAACAAAACAAACAAAAATCCCTCTGGCATATCCTTAATTCACTTTGTCTCACATCCCAAGCTTTACCTTCAAAAACACATGAGGAATCCAATCACATCTTCTCACTTCTACTGCTACTATCTTAGTCTATCTCACCAATGTCTCTTGTCTGGATTTCAGTTTATAGTTAAATGACTTTTATAATGTTACCTTGACCTATATGTCCCCCTCCTACTCCCAACTCTACTGTAGAACTTTTTCAATATAGCAGCCAGATCATTTTTAAATCTAAGTCAGATTGTATCCCTCCTTCCTTCAAAACTCTCCATACTTTCTAACTCAGAATAAAATGTAAAGTCTTTATAATGGTCTGCAAGTCCCTACATTATGCAATTTCCCTGTAACTATTTCATTTCATCTTCTCCTTGATAAGCACTTCTCCACCATGACAAGCATATCCTCACCTTTAGACATGTTTACTATTTCCTCTGCCTAAATGCTTTAAATATCTTTTGTATACGTCAGTCTATCTGAAAAGCCTTCCCTGACCATCTGTTGATGGTCAACATCCCTGACCATTTTCTTCACTATTTCTTTTTTTCTGCCTTGTTGTTTTTAACAGAATTTATTACCACCTAACATCGTATATGTTTGCAATTAGACTAGATTCTACATGTGTGCAGCAACTTTGTATCCATTTTCACTGTATTCCAGGTGCCCATGACATTACCTGGTACAAAACAAGTATTCAGCAAATACCTGCTTAATGATCCCCTACAGTCTTTAATTCTGTTAGTTGTGTCTTCATTACATGACTCTTTCAAACTTAAATCCCTAGAGCTTAGCCTTCAACAGACTGCTCAGTAAAGAGTTCTCCACTGATTCTTCCTTCCTTATAGATCTTATGTCATCATTTCTACTTAATTCTTAGTTCAGACGATTCATCCTTTGTAGTCACACTTTCGTAACCCTATTTCAAACTTCTTTTTGTCATATATTCCTTCTCCACTCTATGGTATACCCTAATGCCAGATGTTTTATTAATTTACTGCCTCATACTCTCTATACCTAGGTTTCCTAGGCTTGTCTACAGTGACATCTTGAGTCAGATAATTTGTTGTTGTCTGAGGTTGTCCCGTGCATCATCCCTGCCCTCTACCCACTATACAACAGTAGCACCTACCTCAGTTACGACAACCAAAAAAGTTTCCGAAGACATTGCCAAATGCCCTGTGGGGCACAAAATTCCCACTGGTTGAGAACCATAGTCTTACATCACTGTTAAAAGAAAACAAAACCCACAAAGGTTCTACATAATTTCTCTTTTACTATCTCTTTTACATTATCTTGTATATCTCGCTTACATATCTTGTATATCTTAGATATCTCACATATATCTTGTATATCTCACTGAGATAGTGACTTTGATTTCTCCATCTTTTAATTTTTTAATAGTCAGGACAGTGAATATAAATATGAAACCATATATTTTTCTTTCTTTCTTTAAATACAAAACCATATTTCTTTCTCTGACTCTCTTTCTTTCCTTCTTTTTTGTCAGTGCTGTAGATCAAATCCAGAGCCTCGGCCTTGCTTGGCAAGAACTCTACCACCGAGCTACATCCCTAGCCATTGGTTTTCTTAAACAGGGTCTGGCTATGTAACTCAGGCTCCCTACTGCTGGAATTTAGCTTAGTACACAGTCCCTTTGCAGAAAAGATATAAGTAAGTTGGGACTACCAGGCATAGTAGCACATGCTTCTAATTCCAACATTCAAGAGCCTGAGGCAGGAGGATAAGGAGTTCAAGCCCAGTCCAGCCTAGGCTACACAGTGAAATCCTGTGTTAAATTAAAAAAATAAATAAATAATAAAGCTAGAACCACATTCAATAATATTTTATAAAACTCAGGTTCTTTTCTGATGAACCCAAGTGCTAACATGCTTTGTGAAATAATACTATGCTTCATTCTGGCCCAGAAATCCACAATTTATCTTTTCTTAAAAAAAAAAAAAAAAATCATTTTTTTTTCTTACCTGGTCTCCTGGCTCATCAAGCTCTCTCTCTAAATCCTCCAGCACAGTCACCACTTCCTCCCCACTCTCTGGATACTGCTCCTGCACCCAGGCTTGGAGCTCCTCTGGCAGGATGGTCAGGAACTGCTCTAGCACCAGCAGCTCTAGGATCTGTTCTTTGGTGTGGGTCTCTGGCCTCAGCCACTGATGGCAAAGCTCCCGGAGTCGGCTCAAAGCCTCCCGGGGTCCAGATGTTTCCTGATAGCAGAATTGTCTGAAGTACTGTCGGAAGACCTCTCTGCTATGCGCATTGTTCTTTTGTAGGTTCCTATCTTGTCCAGTGATATGTTTATCTTCTTCCTCCTCCTCCTCCATCTTTATTTCCAAAAGTTCATCCTGGTCCTTGTGGGCCTGGATATCCCAAGTAGATTCCATCATAGCTACGCAAAAGCTCTATTTAATTAATATCTCCCTTGCAAAGTTTCTTTCGGAGTGGACCTGAGGGATAAGCCATCATTGCTAACACAACTTACTATGAACAAAAACTGCAAATTCTAAGAAGTATGTCCTTTGAAAGCCTGATCCCAGGTTAACTTATTATATACTCAGGGAAATACTTTGATAGAAAATATTTTAAAGGGAAAGATTAAGGAAAATGTGCCAAGGACTTTAAGGAGGAGAGTATGTCTTGGTAGGAAACGTATTTCCATTTAGTCCTAAAGTAAAGGACAATTAAATGGAATAAAACATTTAGAATGAGTAGATTAAAAGGTTAGAATATCCTTTATTAGTTACTTTTCATCAATTTTTAAATGTCTGATGCCTGGTGGAAACCACAAAAATCATAAAAACAACAGTCACAGTAAGTTCCTTCTTCCGGGACTTAATCTCTCTACACCCTTCATTCTTCAATTATAAAGTAAAAAGGCTGGAGAAGTTACTCGTTTCGTTATACCTTTCTTCTACCTTCGAGCTCTGAGTGTAAGTTTAAAGTAAGGTAAGTCAGGCAAAGTGTGACCTAGAATCCAAAATGTCGAGAAGCGCCGAACACGAAGATCACGGCCGGAGACCTAAGACAAGCCGGGGAGTTACGGGGAGAAAAGTCCAACTCACTGCAGAGGCCGGAGGAGCCTCTCACCGCCAGCTCGGACCACCCTCCTAGGGGCCGGCCGAGGGCCTCTGGGAGAAGTTCCCGCTGGACCGCTGGGCAGAGGAGGACCGGCCGCCCCGCACGGGCGTGCGCGGCCCAGGGCGAGCAAGCTCAGCGATCCCCGCCCTCCCGCCGCCGTGTTGGAAGCACAGGCTGCTCACCCACCGCCGCAGCGGACAAGCACCGACGAAGGGCCAAAGACTCGACGATACAGGAACCGGAACCCATAGAGCGAGACCCACAAAGGCCGGAAGTGGCGCGTATGGAGGGCCGGCTCGCTCCGCCCACGAGACGCACTTCCGTGGCAGCTCTAGGACAGAGTAGGCGGGGCTTTCGACTCGGTGGTTTTCACGCGCGCCTACGCAAGACAAAGGGCGGAATTCTCAAGCCTGCGGGGAAACGGAATTAGTTACCTTTCTCCATTGCGCCTTTACGTGGCGTTTTCCCCACTTCTCCCGGCCTGAGGAAGGGCTTGTAGAGTTATTCTGAAGATAAGGAACTCTCATCCATCACTCTCACGTTTATTTGGGTTTCGGTATCTGAGATTGGAGATGTTTTAAAAGGATGCTCTCCCGAGGTCCATGCCGGCCCAACAACGCTTCGCCATGATGAAGGGACCTCTTCAACAGAGACTTCTCAAGGCCGAACCTGCTGGTTTCTGCTGGCCTTCTCATCGTCAGCGATTCTCTTGAAGTGCCCTTTGGTGTGCTGTGATGTGATTGTACATCTGAAAAACCACGGAATTCAATGGGAAAACAGTATTTAAAAGATAATTTAGTAAGGTGGGATATAAACTTGACATCATATCATGTATTTGAAGATACAGTGAAAAAAGGAACCATATTTACAATAGCAGCAATAAAAGAAAAAAAATTAATAATGAAGAAACATTTGTTTGGGGGAAAACTTTAAAACACTCCAGAAAGGCCAAGTGTAAACTTAAAGGGAAAGCAATATGCTATTCTTGGATAGAAAGCTAAGGAGGTCAGTCCTCCCTAAATGTGTATACAATCACTATATTCCAATAAAAATATCAAATACTGCCTTAGAATTAGGCAAACTAATTATAAGTTTCAACTGGAAAAATAAAAATAGTAAAACCCTAAAAAGAACGATAGTGAAGGACAGTCTTACTAGCTACTAGAATATATCATGGTTGCCAAGGAAAACCTTGTCCAATGAAATGAAATGCCCTGGATGTGAGCTGTTACCTGGGCCTCTACACCCTACTCCCCCATCCATTTCTCCAATAAGGCCTGGTTCTGTATCAGAAAGAACACACTCCCACATTAAGATAAAAATGACATAATATATAGAAAAATGGAAAAATGAATTTACTTTTGTTCAAAACTGGTGAGAAATTCTCAAATCTGTCTCTGCCTTGCTCATAACAGTATCAGAAGTTACAGAAATCATGAAACAAAAGCCAGGAAATATGCATATATAGATAGTCTTTCTCCTGGGAGATGAATATTCTGGCATCAGGGCTCCTGAAGGTGATCCATCTTCGCTCCCTGCATGGAATTTTCCAGAAGAATCAGTTCCCAGCACTCTCCTCCCAACCCCCAGGTGGAACACAATGAAAAGGCTTGGCATTTCTGACTTCATATTGTGTCCTTCCCCTTTGCTGCCTTAACCTTTGTGTCAGATTCTATTCATCTATTCATGTAGGCATGTTAATTATTTGAGAAATGTCTGGACCAAAACTATAATACAAAATTAATATTGTAGGTTAATTAACTCAAGTTAACTTGACCTCAACTAGACTTATCTAATGCCCCTTCCACTTCATGGTTAAAGACACCTACACACTACCATGGTCAGAAACACCATACCATGAAAGAAGTGAAAAGAGGTTCCTGAAGAGCCCCTCTATACCTAGAAGTCACTGATACTCATTCCCTTTATTAGCCTATGTCTGTCTTTCATTAATCCTTTTCTAAATCTGTAACCCCTCAACACCTCCTCCCTTTAGAAGCTGATTCTCCATTCTTCCACCACAGACAAAGTTGTTCTTTCTCCCCAACACTCCGCTCTCAGACATTGGACTTTGGCTTTTCTTGGAGATGAGTTTTCAGACCTAGGCTCAGTAATAATTACAGTATGATACTGGTTTATCAACAGAACAGAAATAGATGCAAGTATGTGTTGTATGAATATCTAGTAAATGCTGAAGTTGGTTGCGTATCAATAGGGAAAGAAGGACTTAAAAAAGAAGTTGTATTAGAACAACTGATAGCCAATTAATTGGTCAAAGGTAAAATTGTATTCATATCTCCCACCACATGTCACAATCAGAATAAATTCCAAATAGATCTGAGATCTAAAAGTTTTTAAATATGCCTTTTAACAAGTTAGAAGAAAACGTGAGTAACATCTAATCATGATTTAAAATCCAAAAATCAATAAAAATGATAACTCTGGCTACATAAAAATAAAATGTTTGTCAAAAACACCATAAGGAATGTTAAAAGACAAGTGACCCTGGAAAGCTTTACAACATATCACAGACAAAGGCTAGTATCCCTAATTCACAAAGAGCTAAAAGTTGAGAAGAAAATTTTATCTGGCTGTCAAAATTTGACAGCACAAACTATTTTTGAGGAAAGAGGAATTCTCATTTCTGATGGAAATGTAAAATGGTACAGCTCTTATGTAGGAAACTAATGTAGCAAATTCACATACAAATTTACCCTTTGTTCCTATAATACCACTTCTGGAAATCAATCTCAAGGATACATTGACCAAAATATAAAATGATATACACACAAGATTATTCATTGAGGCATTCAAGCTACAGATTGGAAACAAAGCAGTATTCATCACTCAGGGACTAATTATAAACCATGATGTATTTACCCAATAGACTATTAAGCAGCTATGAAAAATTTTAAAAATCTCAATATACTTCTGTGGAGTGACTGACATTTTTATAGTATAGTACCTTGAAAAGCAGAATAATAATCTTCCAAAGATGTCTGTATCCTAATTCCCCAAACCTATGAACATAGTATGTTGCATGACAATGAGGGATTAAGGTTACAGATAGAATTAAGGTTGTTAATCAATTGACCCTAAGTTTTCTTATTTCAGAATCAAAAATTTTTTTTTATGGGCATAAACTTTTTTGATTTATTGACACAAACTTAAATTCGATATAATTTTCCATGTTACAAATATACTCCACTTTTGCTTAAATTTTATTTCGAGATAATTATAAATTCACAGGAAGTTGTAAGAAATAATGTAGAAAGATTCTATTTAATCTTTACCAAGTTTCCACTATTAGTAACATCTTACAGAATGAAATATTGTTTCATTGAATATTTACATTGATACAATCACAAAGCTTATGAAAGTTTATAAATGATGGAGGAGTACAGAATGTCTCCATCACCAAGTGCAGAAATTCCTTTTATAAACATATTCACCTCCCTTTTAACTTTATCCTTTATTAACCCTGAAAACTACAACTTTTTTCTCTACTTCTATAATTTTGTCAGTTTGAGAATGTTGTAAGCTGGACATAGTAATACACGCCTGTAATCCCACTACTGAGAAGGCTGAGACAGGAGGATCCTGAGTTCCAAGCCAGCCGGGGCTACATAGAAAGAGTCTCTTAAAAAAAAAAAAAAAGAAGAATGTTATATAAATGGACTCATATAGTGTCTATTCTTTTTTGGCTTATTTTTTCCACTTAAAATAATTATCTAAAGAATCATTCAGATTGTTCTGTTTATTAATGGTTCATTTGTTTTTATCATGCTTTTGTATTCTATGATATAGATATACCACTGTTTGTTTAACCATTACTATTGAAGGACATCTGGGTTGTTTCCAGTTTGAGAATATTAGAAATAAAGCTGATGTAAACAATGTACAGGTTTTGTGTGGATACAATTCTTCATTTTTTGGGATAAATGCGTAAGAGTGGGTCATATGGTTGTTGCATGCTTTAGTTTATTGTTGTTTTAAAATAAATTACCAAAGTATTTTCCATAATATCTGTACCATTTCACATTCCCAGCAGCAATGTATGAATGATCCAATTTCTCATTATCTCCACCAGCATTTAATAAGTCTCAGCCTCAGGCATATTTTTATAGCAATAGAAAGCCAACTAACAGAAAATACTTATTTCTCATAGTTTTAGAGACTGGCAAGTCTAAGATCAAAGTGCCGGACAATTTGGTGTCTGGTTAGTGTTCACTCCTCATAAATGGCGGCTTCACATACTAGAATGTTGAAGCTGCTCTCTGGAGCCTTTTATAAGGGCAATAATCCTATCTGTGATGGTACCTCACAAAATTCCCACCTCCTAACACCATCACATTGGTGATTAGGTTCAAACATGAATTTGGAGAGATTCAAACATTCAGACACGTTGTACATATATTGAAATAAGGACAAATGTAGCATATGTTTTTAAAAGTTATTGCACCAAGATAAGAAAGGAGTTTATTATGTGAAGTAATCAAACATAAAAGGCAATAGAAACCCAAGAAAACACTAAAGGAGAAGAATCATTAGCCACAGTTAATGAGTGTGGGGGCAGAGTTAACAAGGAAAAACTCTAGACTGGGAATTAAGGGGCTTCAATTATTCGGCCCTTATCTTGTTTCTATCTAGAAAGTAACCTGAACAAGTCACCTAACCTGAGTCTATTTTTTAAACTTATGAAACAAAGGATTGAGCCACTAGATTTAAATCCCTTCTCCCTCCTTTTTTGCTTAAACCAGTAAAAGAACTCTAGGAGTTTCAACATAAGAAACAGGAAAATAAAAAAAGGAGATGATTTTGTCCATGTGTAGCAAAGGGGGTTGGATGCCCAGGACTATGCTTGACTAACTCATGGCTGAGTGTCAAGTAACATCTCAGAAGTTACTTAAGGTTCTGGGGAACAGTTTGAAAACCAATGATTTTGTTGGTTTTTAATTATTTTGGCCTTCAATATACTGATATATCTTTTTTTTGCTGGGCAGGTGATCTAATACATGAGCCACTCTGTCAGCTCAATATATTGCTTCTTAAAGTTGTCTATACTTAAATAAATTTGTGAGATCATCCATTATTAAGCTCCTCAAAGAGACAAATATTTCCTAGTTATCCTAAGACAACCTTTAGCCACACTCCAGTTGTGACTAAATCATCCCATTTT